TATGGATTCAACTTTCCATTAAGAACCATTTCCAGTTTGCGTTCTAAACTGTTCTTGTAATCAGGACCAAAACCACAAGGTGACCTGGCTTGCTGTCAGTTTCCTCTCTGGGCTTCTAAATTTTCACCCACAATTTAGCAAAGTGAGGATTTTCTAAAACTTTGCAAGGAACGTAAGAGTAAGAGTAAAGGCAGACGATCATGATTCTTTTTTTTTTCTTTAAGGGTTCTTAGTTCTGAAGGCTACACCCTTTTCCCCCAAGGACACTGCTACCACAGTGATTCTTCATGATGTTGGATTTTATTTACATATTTATTTATTTAAGCAAGATACATTTATTTAGGTATTAAGCACTTGTTAGGTTTAAGCACAAGGCAAGCAGGCTCCGTCTTAGGGCTTCTCTAAGGTCTGCAGCTCACACAGGTTACTTGTTCAGACATAGTGTGCACCTTCCCTCTAACCAGAGTGCAAACATCTTCAGTCCACATTTGTGAACGAGGCAAGGTTCTTGCTTATCTGCACTACGAAATGTCTCTTCAGAATTCTTCAAGTGATATCTCATCTTATGACGCAAACACCGAATACAACTTGAGGAACTTGCTTTTGTGCACGGAGCAGTCGGTATCACAACAGATCCTAATGGATGTAATTTTGTTCTTTTAGATCCCCATCCCTCTCTCTGAGCAAGAGAACGGAGACATTTTTCAATGTTTTAAATTTTAACTTTCAATCTTGCAGCAGAACTGGATGAGGAAATGGAGAAGATTGGCAACTATGCCTGGGGGGGGAAAAAAAAAAAAAAGAACCAGCACAGTTCTCAGCCTAATGGAAGCTGAAATCTGAAAGAAGCTGGAAAAAGCAGGAAAATCAAGAGCAGAGCATTTTGCTTCAGGAATCTATTTTTCCTCGAAGGAAAAGATAAACAAGTAGAGCAAGAAAATTTCATTAGAAAGTTGACATTTATTTGTCTACCTGATACTAGTTAAGCCTTGCCGTCTCTTGTGCTTTTATTTTCTGTGGAAGTAGGATGCGTATCTTATTATTCCTATCACAGGCTACATCCAACATTTGGGATGAGGGTTCTTTATTAACTTCTTAGGAACTAAAAGATACCGTAACAAGCAGTCGCTATTTTAATCACACTAATTGTAGCAAACCACTGCCATCCTGTGGTAAGTCTAGAATACTGCATAAAGCCTGCACCACCTTAGCCTCATATTATTATTCAGATACCACTGAAAATAAATGGGCGGGGAAAGGAAACTTTCAAGTTTAACACACTGAATTTTTTTAAAGGTTTTTCTAATATAAATAATCTTATTGAAAGATTTATTTTCCTTAAATTATTAGGTTTCACTGCATTTTTTTTTTGCCAACCCCCTTAAAATTTTATTATTTTTTACATTTTTAAAAAATAAACCCTCATGACTTCAAAGAAAATATCCTTAATTTGGCAGGAATAAATCGAATAATTTCTAAGATGAGCACTTTACCAGATGAAGAAAATGATGGATCTACTATACTCGTTGCTGCTTTGGAAGTAAAATTTATCACTCAAGACGTTATAAATGCAGCTGATTTTTCAAAACTTTAACATCAAACTCAGTAATGCACAACTTCATCTTTTATCAAATCCAAGAACTATAGGCAGGCTTCACTTAATGACTGCTTGCTTTCAGGCGCTTGGAACTGGCTAGCAGTTGACTGACTGCATTGTCCCATAGTCACAATTGTGATTTACTATATTGTTTGCTGTTTTCTTGCAAAAAACACTCATTGCATATGTTGGTTTCACTTAACAATCATGTGGCTCACTTAATGACCACCCCAACTTACAACCAAAATTCCAGGCCTAATTTTGGTCGTAAATCAAGGACTACCTGTATAATGCCTGGCTAAATAGAAAGAATCCAGTATATCTGGCTTAAGTAGTTGGGGTGGTTAGAGTATTGAATAAATATGCTGCAATTGGTTTTCTTTTGTTTTGTACATACAAGACACATTAACTGGAAGCAAACAGCAAAAGAAAGAAAGAAAGAAAGAAAGAAAGAAAGAAAGAAAGAAAGAAAGAAAGAAAGAAAGAAAGAAAGAAAGAAAGAAAGNTATGGATTCAACTTTCCATTAAGAACCATTTCCAGTTTGCGTTCTAAACTGTTCTTGTAATCAGGACCAAAACCACAAGGTGACCTGGCTTGCTGTCAGTTTCCTCTCTGGGCTTCTAAATTTTCACCCACAATTTAGCAAAGTGAGGATTTTCTAAAACTTTGCAAGGAACGTAAGAGTAAGAGTAAAGGCAGACGATAATGATTCTTTTTTTTTTCTTTAAGGGTTCTTAGTTCTGAAGGCTACACCCTTTTCCCCCAAAGACACTGCTACCACAGTGATTCTTCATGATGTTGGATTTTATTTACATATTTATTTATTTAAGCAAGATACATTTATTTAGGTATTAAGCACTTGTTAGGTTTAAGCACAAGACAAGCAGGCTCCATCTTAGGGCTTCTCTAAGGTCTGCAGCTCACACAGGTTACTTGTTCAGACATAGTGTGCACCTTCCCTCTAACCAGAGTGCAAACATCTTCAGTCCACATTTGTGAACGAGGCAAGGTTCTTGCTTATTTCCCCTACGAAATGTCTCTTCAGAATTCTTCAAGTGATATCTCATCTTATGACGCAAACACCGAATACAACTTGAGGAACTTGCTTTTGTGCACGGAGCAGTCGGTATCACAACAGATCCTAATGGATGTAATTTTGTTCTTTTAGATCCCCATCCCTCTCTCTGAGCAAGAGAACGGAGACATTTTTCAATGTTTTAAATTTTAACTTTCAATCTTGCAGCAGAACTGGATGAGGAAATGGAGAAGTTTGGCAACTATGCCGGGGGGGGGGGGGAAGAACCAGTACAGTTCTCAGCCTAATGGAAGCTGAAATCTGAAAGAAGCTGGAAAAAGCAGGAAAATCAAGAGCAGAGCATTTTGCTTCAGGAATCTATTTTTCCTCGAAGGAAAAGATAAACAAGTAGAGCAAGAAAATGTCATTAGAAAGTTGACATTTATTTGTCTACCTGATACTAGTTAAGCCTTGCCGTCTCTTGTGCTTTTATTTTCTGTGGAAGTAGGATGCGTATCTTATTATTCCTATCATAGGCTACATCCAACATTTGGGATGAGGGTTCTTTATTAACTTCTTAGGAACTAAAAGATACCGTAACAAGCAGTCGCTATTTTAATCACACTAATTGTAGCAAACCACTGCCACCCTGTGGTAAGTCTAGAATACTGCATAAAGCCTGCACCACCTTAGCCTCATATGAGATACCACTGAAAATAAATGGGGGGGGGGGGGGGGAAGGAAACTTTCAAGTTTAACACACTGAATTTTTTAAAAGGTTTTTCTAATATAAATAATCTTATTGAAAGATTTATTTTCCTTAAATTATTAGGTTTCACTAATTTTTTTTTTTGCCAACCCCCTTAAAATTTTATTATTTTTTTACATTTTTAAAAAATAAACCCTCATGACTTCAAAGAAAATATCTTTAATTTGGCAGGAATAAATCGAATAATTTCTAAGATGAGCACTTTACCAGATGAAGAAAATGATGGATCTAACCTTCATCTACTATACTCGTTGCTGCTTTGGAAGTAAAATTTATCACTCAAGACGTTATAAATGCAGCTGATTTTTCAAAACTTTAACATCAAACTCAGTAATGCACAACTTCATCTTTTATCAAATCCAAGGACTATAGGCAGGCTTCACTTAATGACTGCTTATTTTCAGGCGCTTGGAACTGGCTAGCAGTTGACTGACTGCATTGTCCCATAGTCACAATTGTGATTTACTATATTGTTTGCTGTTTTCTTGTAAAAAACACCCATTGCATATGTTGGTTTCACTTAACAATCATGTGGCTCACTTAATGACCACCCCAACTTACAACCAAAATTCCAGGCCTAATTTTGGTCGTAAATCAAGGATTACCTGTATAATGCCTGGCTAAATAGAAAGAATCCAGTATATCTGGCTTAAGTAGTTGGGGTGGTTAGAGTATTGAATAAATATGCTGCAATTGGTTTTCTTTTGTTTTGTACATACAAGACACATTAACTGGAAGCAAACAGCAAAAGAAAGAAAGAAAGAAAGAAAGAAAGAAAGGAAGGAAGGAAGGAAGGAAGGAAGGAAGGAAGGAAGGAAGGAAGGAAGGAAGGAAAAGAGAGAGAGAGAGAGAGAGAGAGAGAGAGAGAGAGAGAGAGAGAGAGAGAGAGAGAGAGAGAGAGAGAGAGAGAGAAAGAAAGAAAGAAAGAAAGAAAGAAAGAAAGAAAGAAAGAAAGAAAGAAAGAAAGAAAGAAAGAAAGAAAGAAAGAAAGAAAGAGCTTTTTCAAGCATACAGCATTACAAGCCCTAACATTTCAACAGCACATTTTCTGGAGCAACAAAGAAAAGAATTAGCAAGTGAAACTTATCAGAAAAAAATTGTGCAGTGCTCATTCATAAAATAACATTTGTTGGAAGTATACTGCTGAAATAACCTATAGCTAATTAAAGAAAATACTTATAGTTAATTATAGTCTAGTTTTCTTACTATATAATTTTCTTTATTTGACATACATTAGAAAACTGCAATTTCAGTAGACTCCTGCACAAATTTTAGTATAATAGCCCAGGATCTGCCTTGCTTTATACATACTAAACAACTATACACACCAACATTTTACACTGGCTATGCATCCAATCCCATAAGTTTGCAGTTGCAGACCAAAATGTCATATATGAAATAGTATGAATGTAATTCTTAATTTACAATAAAAGTGGCAATAAATGCATGGAATGGGCAAGGCAATTAGGCAGATAATTACTTTCTGTAATTATTCTGTAGTATCTATGAGAGTTTCAGAATCAGAGATACATGCATATATTAGAGTGCATATATTAGAGTGCATATCGTGTTTCTTAAAACTATCTCAAAATATTTAGAACCAACCTAAGTATGCTTGGTTAAAAAAAAATCAATCATCTGTACCTTACTTGTAGTTTAGAAGATATGCTGGTTTATGTGATCATGTCAATTGAAGTTTTAGGATTAATGGAGGGGTTTTTTTGTTTTAACTGTTTTGTGTGGTGCTCAGGATTGTTATCCCAATATGGGCAGCTGTATAAGCATTTTAAAAAATACATATTGGTAAAGTAATATCAATTTAACAACAAGCACATATTCCATCAGTTCTTATGGCCACAATTGAGCCCAAAATGTATGTTGCTAAGTGAGAAATTTGTTAAGTGAGTTTTGCCCCATTTTATGACTTTTTTGCCACTATTAGTAAGTGAATCACTGCAGTTGTTAAATTAGCAACATGGCTGTTAAGTGAATCTGGTTTCCCCACTGACTTTGCTTGTCAGGTTGCAAAAGGGGATCACGTGACCTTGGGACGCTGCAACCGTCATGAGTCACGTGTCAAGCATTCAAATGTAAATCATGTGACCATGGGAATACTGCAATGGTCATGAGTGTGAAAAAATGGTCATAAGTCATTTTTTTCAGTGCCGTTGTAACTTGGAACGGTCATTAAGGGAACTGTTGTTAAGTCGAGGATTACCTGTATACATCCATACTATTTCAATACACTAGATGGCACTAACTGGTCAGATAACTTTTGCTGTGCTGTGTAATATTGTCTCGGGGGTCAGCAGTCCCACTTACCTCAGTAAAACTGCCATCGCGATGTGTACTTTTTAAAATTTTGTGTCTGTACACATGAAGTTAAGAAATAACTTTTGAGTGGAATTAAATGTTATCTTTTCACTGAGGGAACTGCTTTTGTTAGGTAAACCTAAGACTGCAATTTGCCACTTTGACTGCAACTTTCTCGTGTGCCCCCCAAAATATTCTCAGGACAGAGAAAGAACAAAGTAGCTTAGAAAGGCAGATAAAATGCTGACTGCAGGGGAAAAGAAAGGGGACGCATTCGTATACTTTTCATTTCATATCCAGGATGTTCATGTTGATGCATATCCAAAAATGATTAAACTTAAGGCTTCAGTTTTGTCAAAAGTAACACATTGGAGTTTAACTGACCTTTCTTTTCTGAAGGTCTGTTCCCATCCATCCATTTTCCCTTAAAAGCTTCACCATCCCGTGTAACAAACATAATTTCATTCCTATTTAGAAAAATATCAGACATATACACTTGGCGGCCATAGATCCACCGGCACTGCTTCATTGAACTGTTGGCAGATTTCCAGCACAACACCTAAACATAACATTAAAAAGGGGGAAAGAAACATAGATCTACATCAGTGGCACTCTCTATCTTCATTCTACATTATTTTGTGTGCTGAGAAAAGTGCTGCTTTCTGCACTTATTATTATTTTCTGTACTGTGGAGTCAGCAGAGCCTATCTTGCTTCAGAAATCTGTCTCTATGATTCTATTGATGCAACTAGATATAATCCTAAACCAATTCAAAAAGGGGGAAAGGGGAGAAAAAAGAGTACAATAAGTATACATATTGGATGCTATCCAGGTGCAGCAATGGAGTGCGGAGAGGAAGAGAAACAACTTACTCTTCCAGCTTGATCCAGTGCAAGAATATAAATCCTCAGCCCTCCATTTTCTTTAAGATGTTGAGGATTCACTCTGTAATCCAAATGTCCTCCGCTTACAAGAACCTTTTTTAGGTTTAGTTGCCTACACAAGGACACAAAAATATTTACGCCGACATAAACAAAAATAACAAGAGAAAAAGAAATCTCACTTTGCAATTTAAAACGTGAACTTTTAAATGGAAGAACTGCAGTGTTGAGTAAACAAAGAGAACATCATACAGCAACCTATCTCACTCCTATAAGAATATCGCATCTGTACCATTATAAGCCAATGTGACATTTTGTCCTATTTTGTTGGCTAACAATTTACACTATCTGCCACATAACTCAATGTCTTTAAAAAAATATTGTGCATCAATAAAAACAACACAAACTATTGATTGTAAGATATTATTTGAAAGAATCACTGAAATACAACAGAAAAATAGGAGAGCAACATTCAAAATTTCCTTACAACTCACAGCAAGAGTTAGAAAGTGCACTGGCTTAAATCCTTATCCTTGGAGACAACTGAAGAGTTAAAATAGTTAAAATCTAGATAAGGCCATTCTGGGTTGAAATATCAGCGCAAACGCAATAAATTATTTTAATAAACCATAATCCTTTCAGCTTTCTTTATACTCAATAAATCAAATTGACTCATTATACGAATTGTATGAATTAAATTGTAAGGATTAATGACAAGAGTGCATGCATAGTTGCTTGGGCACCCAAAAAGAGAAAGCTAAGCATTATTCTTAAGAAAGCATTACAGTTGCAGATTCAAGTAAGCTGGAAAGAATTTGATGATAATGATTCAAATGATGGTCACAATCTAGATAATCAAAATTTGAGAAATCCAAAAATCCATATACTGTAGTATCAAGTTGTAATTTAAAAAGAGGATCATAAATTTGTATTTAAACATTTACAGAATTTCCAATTTTATTTTTACAGTAACCTAAGCGAAACAAAATATAATTTGCATTAGCTACACTATCAGCATTTGGAGTGACACATTGGCAGCTGTACTCCAAAAAACTAGGCCTAGAAAAAAAAAACTATTTTTTACATTGAAGTTTCACTAAAATTAAATACTGTTACATGCAGTTGACAATGCGGGTTTACATTTCCTACAAAAAATTGGTGCAGCATATTCTCCAAGCAGAATTGATCTTATTGGATTAAGTGGTATACTAGCTGGCTGACTGACTGACTGACTGATGGACTAACGAAAGGAAAAAATGAATATACACATATACATTCCATTTGATTGCCTGCACAACACAGACTTCTCTGCAAACAATGCTGCATACTAACTTTCAAATAAATCTCAGTAAGCCCAATATCATTTTGTCACAGCTATGTCACAAGCCAAATAAGGAGAATTTCATGTGTAGTATCAGTAAATAAAAGATAAGTAATTGGAGAGTGTGGGGGTGGTCTCTAGAAAAATGCATCAGGCTGCTTGCCTTCAATGGGTAACTCCACCCACAGCTGTCGCATGTCTACCCAAAACCAATTCAACTTTTGGCCATATAATATTACCCGACCTCTGCAACGGAATTTTGAAACTAAAAGCAGCAGAATGATTTACGATTTATATCTGATTTACATTTTAACTCTAGGCGTATCATCACTCTCTTTTAGTGGGCAAAATTCCATTATTATTACAATATTAATTTGTTGCACTTTAAAAACCATAATGGAATGTCATAAGTGGCTCCAATTTAATTGCTTTAACAGGCTAACACAGGTACTGTTCAGAAAATGTTAAGCTTTTTTTTCCCCCCACTGAAATCCTTTCTCTGGAAAAAATGTACAAAAGTTGGATTTTCTAAAGGATTTCTATGTTTACAAAGTAGATTTGCTTTACCTTGTCTTGTGTTCTTGCAGTGCTATATTAAAAAAAAAAAAGATTGCATCCAGGCCAGTTTTACATGCAGAAGCCCATTTCACACAACTAACACAACAGTCTAGACAAAGACTTGTACAACTATAAGCAAGCAATATTTGCCCTTCCACATGCAACCTTCTGCATCACAACTCAAATAGCCTAGAATTAGATGTCAGCAATATTGGTATGCTCAAAACACAAGATTTTGCAAAAAACAAAAAAACAAAAAACCCACATAGCCTTTCAATCTGTTGACATAGTTAAAAAAAATTCAGGAAGAGAATTTTATAGATTTCTCTGGAAAAAAACAAACCACTCACTTGGAAGCAATCTTCTTGCACTGATAGTCACTAAGCAAATAGATGTCTCCTTTTTCAGTAACACAAACTGTGGCACCATCACTTGCAGTGACAAAGGACATATTGATGTCCTTATGATGTAGAGCAGAGACTTGGCGAGGAGAAGTTACACACTTCTCTCCATTAGGATCTAGCAAGTATCCTACAATGTAAGAGAATACTCTAAATGTCAAGTTTTTCAGAACTAGAATTATTTGGCATTTAAGCACAATTCTTTTCTTATTAAGAAAGGCAGAAATAAGTGTTTCCATTCACCCACTTGCACTTGCCTGGAGGATCAAAATAATAATTTTAAACATATGCCAACATATGAAGCAGCCTTATACTGATTTAGTCCACTGTCCCACCACACTCGGCACTTTTTTTTTTCTGATCGGTAACAATGTTCCAGGATCTTCTTGCCAAAGAACAGATCTTTTGTAATGAACACCACATTAAAAGAGAACACTGGAAACGTTTATGGATTACTGCATGGAAAAGAAGGTCACAAAATCTGTTTATTAAATGAATAATTGCACAACATTCTGCTTAGCATATCACTAAAAGCCAACCTTATAGGGAGGATCCAACTGTAGGAAAACATTTTACAAACAAAACTTTACTCCTAATATGGTTATTATGTATATCTTTACTTGAAGCACATTTATTTGGAAGGGACTTAAAGCTGTATGGTTTCATATGGATTCATAACGCAACCTTTTACCAGTCTAAATCCATTGCTAAACCTACAGATCAAACTCACATACTCTTTCAAGGATCCTTGCAAGTTTTTCTAAAAATTGTACCTATGTTCTCTTATGTAGCTCCTAAACTGATAAATGTTCAAGTTCAGTTTCATTTAATTACACAATTCTGTGTTTTCAACATTAAAGGCATCTACATTCTGGGTATTAAGCTTGGAATTTGATAGAATTAATCCTTCCTTTTGTGAGGGTGGGCAGGAACATTCAATGCATAGGCAAGATAAAGGGCTAGAAAATAACAAAAATCAAATAACTAAGAGAAAAACTACAAATGAAAAATCAACAATTTCCCAAGCCTTGACCATTAACAGCACTACTTTAAGTGCATTTCAACATTGGCATCTCATTAGTGTACAGCAAACAGATTCTAAAGAATATAGCAAAAAATTAAGATATTTCCCCACAAACATCAAGTGGTTTTTATTCCCTCTCACCTAATTGTCCACCATTCAGTCCCATTGTATAGACTGCTTCTTTGGTCCATAATACTGAATGGAATCTCCCTGCAGCCACACCAATCACTGTCCTTCCCTTAAGATTTTTTGCTTGCACCTGTTTAAAAAAGCCCAGAGACATACATACAGGTGTCACAAATCCAATCTGCTTAGCCATGAATCTAAAGAACAGGAAAGCAATAGAGTCCAACAAAGACATTTTAATTCATACATGAAAAAATAAGAACATGTATTATTAAATCAGCCACTGACAGAAGGGATGATGAACACTGCCATAGTGACAGCACAACTCTGGAATTCCCTTCTCAGGGAAAGTTGCCAAGCAATCTCTTTTTAGTTTTATATGTCAGAGAGAAACATTTCTCATCCAGCAGGCTTGGACATCTTTCAATGATCTCAAAGAACTCTTAATTGTTAGAGAGCTTTTCAAGGGCCTGCAATATTCCCTTAGATTGCTACATTTTATTATTGTCATCTGTTTGGCTTATGTTTAGATTAAAAACACCAAGAATGATGTTAATCACAATAAAATGCTTGTTTGATAGAGTTCTCCAAAGCACTCAAAACAGAGACTCAGGACAGCAAAGCCTTCAAAGCAGCTTTCCTGGGCTTTGTGTATTTGCATGCATGCAGTCACTTCATTTTCCTGTCAGAGGCAGTAGAAGTGATGTTTGTGCATGCACACACATGCAAAAGCAATCAGGGAAAACTGCTGTTTGTGCATGCACACACATGCAAAAGCAATCAGGGAAAACTTTGAAGTTAGCCATATCAAGCCTAGCCTTCTGGATGACGATTTAATTTTTTTGATTTAATATTACATGTTTATTCTTCCTTTATTTTTTATTAATTAAAGGCAGTTTACATACCTAATACATACCTGAGCCTTGGTGGTGCAGTGGTTAGAATGCAGTATTGCAGGTTAATTCTGCTGACTGCCGATTGCCAGCAATTTGGCAGTCCGAATCTCACCAGGCTCAAGGTTGACTCAGCCTTCCATCTTTCCAAGGTCAGTAAAAGGAGGACCCAGATTGTTGGGGGCAATAGGTTGACTCTGTAAACCGCTTGGAGAGGGCTGTAAAGCCCTTTGAAGTGGTATATAAGTCTTATTGCTAATGTTCCTTCTTCCTATATTCCCTACAATAACAATCCTGAGAGTGACTGATCCAAAGTTACTCAGATGGTTTACAGGTCTAAAGGAGGACTAATATTCAACCTTCTGCTATCTAACTCGGCACCTTAACCACAACCCCCGTGTCCTGCAGCTACATGATCACCATTTATGATCTTCACAGCCAGCTTCCGACAAGCAATGTCAATGGGAAAGCCAGCAGGAAGTGTAAAGTTGCAAACCCCAGTCACGTAACATCACACTTAAATGACTGCAATGACAATTGCTATCGTAAGTCGGGTATAAGCATGTGACTTTTCATTTTACAACCGTGTTGCTTAGCAATGGGAGTTGCCAGTCCAATGGTGGATGGTAAATGAGGACTACTGTATCTTCTGTCTTTGGGAAGTTGGCCTTTCAGATACGATTTCATAGATTAACATCTAACTGCTGCATTTCATTCTAATTTGTTGTATGTTAAATTTTAATTCTGGATTTTATATGCTTATATTGTGAAAGAACAGTTTAATAATCCTTTTACAAACAGGCTTTGTGAACTGCCTAGAATTTTTGAAATGGAACAGAACATAAATACTGTAAAATAAATATCACACAATACTACTGCTTGCACTGCATCTGATATACGAATGTGCATATATGTGCTTTTGAATTGTAAGGATTGAGATGGGCAGCTATAGAAATTGAGATAGATGGATGGATGGATGGATGGATGGTAGAGTATGTTCAGGCTAACAAGGTGAGCACACTTCATGCATGAACATACAAATGTATAGGCACATATAAAGCACCTTCTTAGTAAGGAGGTTAATTTTACCTGTCTGGGAACACTGCAGTTAGGAAGAGGAGGATGTATACCAAGTTGATGAAAAGTATTGATGCCAAAGGCATAGAGGCACCCATCTTCTGTTAGTACAAGCGTATGATCTTTAGCTGCTGCCACTTGAGAACACTGATGAGCCACCAAGCTTTCTACCAGTCTAGGAATCTAAGACAGATGAAGAAAATGTCACCTTCAATGTTTCAAGCCACATCCCTGTCTCTTATTAGAAGGTTCATTATCAAGACCTCAAGCAAAATCACCGTCAAAGGGATTATTTTATGTGTTTATACTCATCCTTTGTCTTCTAAGACACCTAGTAATAATACTGTTATTACGATACAAGTTTTTTGTGGAGAAAAGAAAGATCTCTTAATGTACTACAAAGCTCTGTTGCTTTTCCTGCAATAATATAACACTGGAGACTGACTAAATAAAAGTCCCAATAGTGTTTTCATTATATCCCAATAAATTTGTTAATTTTAAAGTATAAAATTCTGTTTTGCTGAAAGGTTCTTGTCCATGACTACCTCTCAAAACATTATCCAAGATTATTCTTTAATTTATGTTCGCTACCAGGTACAGTTGCAAGAAAAAGTATGTGAACCCCTTGGGATAACGCGGAGTTTTGCATGAATTGGTCATAAAATGTGCTCTGAACGTCATCTAAGTCACAACAATAGAAAAACACAGTCTGCTGAAAATAATAATACACAAACATTACATGTTGTCATGGTTTAATTGAACATAACATGTAAACATTCACAGAGCAGGGAGGAAAAAGTATGTGAGCCCCTAGCCTAATGACGTCTCCAAGAGCTAATTGGAGCCAGGAGGGAGCCAACCTTGACTCCAATCAGTGTGATGATATTGGATGTGTTGCTGACAACTGTCCTGCCCGTTAAAAACACACACCTGTTATGGGTTTACTGGTTTCAAGAAGCACTGTCTGATGTGAACCATGCCTCGCAGAAAAGAGCTCTCAGAAGACCTACGATCAAGAATTTTTGACTTGCATGAAGCTGGAAAGGGTTACAAAAGTATCTCCAAACGCCTTGATGTTCATGTGTCCACGGTAAGACAGACTGTCTACAAATGGAGAAAGTTTAGCACTGTTGCTACTCTCCCTGGGCATGGTCGTCCTGTAAAAATGACTGCAAGAGCACAGCGTAGAATGCTTCTTGAGGTAAAGAAGAATCCTAGAGTGTCAGATAAAGACCTACAGAAATCTCTGGCACATGCTAACATTTTTGTTGACACATCTACAATAAGGAAAACATTAAACACGAATGGAGTACATGGGAGGACATTACGGAGGAAGCCATTGCTTTCCCAAAAAAATATTGCAGCACGTTTGAAGTTTGCGAAAGAGCACCTGGATGTTCCACAGCACTACTGGCAAAATATACTGTGGACAGATGAAACCAAAATTGAGTTGTTTGGGAAAAACACACAAAACTATGTGTGGAGAAAAAAAGGCACAGCACACCAACATCAAAACCTCATCCCCACTGTAAAACATGGCGGAGGGAGCATCATGGTTTGGGGCTGCTTTGCTGCCTCAGGGCCTGGACGGATTGTTGTCATTGATGGGAAAATGAATTCCAGAGTTTATCAAGACATTTTGCAGGAAAACATACGACCATCTGTCCGCCAACTGAAGCTCCGCAGAGGATGGGTGATGCAACAGGACAATGACCCAAAGCATACAAGTAATTCAACAAAACAATGGCTTCAACAGCACAGAATACGCCTTCTGGAGTGGCCCAGTCAGAGTCCTGACCTCAACCCGATTGAAATGTTGTGGCATGACCTTAAGAGAGCGATTCACACCAGNTCCCTGCTCTGTGAATGTTTACATGTTATGTTCAATTAAACCATGGCAACATGTAATGTTTGTGTATTATTATTTTCAGCAGACTGTGTTTTTCTATTGTTGTGACTTAGATGACGTTCAGAGCACATTTTATGACCAATTCATGCAAAACTCCGCGTTATCCCAAGGGGTTCACATACTTTTTCTTGCAACTGTAGTTTGAGAACTCGTTAATAATGAAAGCAACGTATTATTTATGGAGTCAACTACCAACACAACCTTTAACTACAGATCAAAATAATTCAATATGGCCTCTCCATTAAAATTAGAATTACAGCATCCCCTAATTTCAAGAAGTATATATGTAAGAATATGCATGTGTATATATATTTGCTTGGTATGCTGTGTGTCTGTGTACATAAGCAGTTCAAAGCATAAGAATGGTATTTTAATATTATAAGACTACCTTATACCCTCCAACTACACTGGACTGTTTCCATCATCATTTCCATTATTCCATTATGGAATAAAAGTTAGTATCTGATGGCTCTCAAGCTGTGGATAATGGCGGAGTAATATCTGTGTACATGGCTATGCAATCAGAATTATAGTATTTGTATTTAAAGCAGACTATATTAAACAAACATGTTTTTCAATATCTGCAACTCTTTAAGAAGAGCCATTTTTAAAAAAAGAAATCAGGTCCTACTATGGATATAGCTTAGTGGATCTGAGAATCAATTATTTTTTCACAATCTAAAGTATTAGTTTTAAAATACCAAGCAAGTCTGTTCGTCACCATGCCCCAAGCGACCTCCTTGACCATGCCCACAGGTGTAAACCTGTCCTTTCTGGGAAAGGAACACAGAATGAAATTTGCAGAGTACCACCTAAGGAAAGAGAGATTTTTTTAAAAAAAACTGTAAGAACTTGAACTTCATCTAGCTAACTTTTTCAAAGTAAGTTGATATTTAAATCATTTACTTTGTAATAATACGGAAAGAAATCATGCTTCAATTTGATTTTCAATATATATATATATACTAAACACATTTAAATAAACTGCACATTTACATTTATAATACTGGATGCCTACACAAAGAACCACTTACTATCTTGACTGTATCATAAGAAAAACATATACTTTGAAAACAATTGTCTTATTTCTAATATTTTTAAATGAGTTTTAAAAACAACAAAAATTATCAAGATAAAGCATAACTTTATGCATGATTTTATGCATGTAGGTCATTTCCTACATATCCACCTAAGGAAGGGTGGGCTGTGGCCTTTTCTGGCTATATTCCATGCCAAACCTGGCTCCTACAGATAACCAAGGAGATGTGGAACATTGGGAGTGATAAGGGACGAGATGCCACCTCCTTCCTGGAGGTATGTGCTCTCTTGAAGAAGCCCTCTCTCAGTTGAAGCATGCTGAACAACTATTGCCTAGTCTCCATCCTTCTCTTTGAAAAGAAGGTTGTGAAGAGAGTAGGGAAGACCACAGAGGAAGGAGTGACATCAAAGTACTAAAAATTATTTTTAGCTAAGGATTTTAGGATAGGACTGGATCAGAAACTAAAATATTTATGAAATCAGAAAGAAAACTGGTTTAGCCACAGATGTATAATAAGGAACATGGGCCAAAAGAATATCACAGCTCTTTTCAAATATACCTGTTAAGAAGAAAGGGAGCTGCTACATTAAGAACTCCTCCCAACCTCTATGGTCAGTCAAGTGTTAACCACTGCCACCACCCTAATTTCCCACCTTGCAATACTTTCCCACAATGCCTACCTGTTTAATATAAATCCCATTTCGAGGAAAGAGATCCACCAACTCAGGATGATGTCTACTCTGCTGACCACCATGGCCTAAAGTAAAATTGATGTTGATTCCCCAAGTGTAGACATCTGTGGGATCTAAAGTAAAATGGTAAGTTCTTAACTGCAGTATATCATTTGATGTATAGATGAACTGCATTTATTTTTTTGTCTGCTTATGAATGCTTTTCATATATTTCCAAAATAAAATTTAAAAATATTAACGTACATTACTCTATTATTACAACAAAATTATATACCCAAGAATTTGCATAACCAAAATTAATACCATCTTTAAAAAACAGACATATTCAGTATGCAACCAGACATATAATTCTGAGCTGAATCAGACATTATTCGTAACAGCAAGTGTTGTATTTTCAATTTTTATATTATACTAGATGACAACCCATGCCCTGTTGGGTCATCACTTCAGAGACATTTCCTTGCCTGAACAGAGAAACTCAGTGATCAAGGACAGGAAAAAAAAAATCAGTGAGAGCAAGAGCAGACTACCTGCCTGCTTCCCCATTGAGTTTCCTTGTGGGAATCCGGCAGGGAGCATCAGAGATCTCCCTTACTTCCTCTTTCCCACTTCCCTTCTCTTTCCAACAGGCAGGTAAGTGACTGCTGGAGGGGAGGGAGCAAGGGATTGCAAGACTGGCTGGGAAACTGTCACGGAACACTGAAAATGAAGATCACGTGGCCACTGCAACAGTGCAACAGCAGCCAGTAGCAATGAAGCAGGCCCAACTTTTCTTCCCTCAGGAATCATATATATCTCCAGATTCTGGATATATTCTGTAAGTCCATTTGAGGTACCTTGGTTCAAAAGGTATTGCCTATGATGCACCACTTTGTTTGGTTAAAGGACATAACAACAAGAGTTTTAGTAAATTATAGATACAAGTACATTTTACCTTACAAGTATATTTTGTAAAATATGTTCCTAAAGGCAAACTGGTACTATAGTTGATACCAAAGCTGATACTTACTTTTTTATTACAAAACAGAACTTTAAAAAAAACAGTGTTTTGGAGGAAAAGGCAATTTATTTAAAAATAACATACTTTACAAAGAAAATAAGTTGAACATACAAGTTCAGAAGAACGAATCAGTACTTACTAGCTGATGTATGTAAAAGAGTAGTAAAGGTAGTAGTTGTTGCTATCATTAGATAAAGTCTATGGATTATTCCAGTGGTGGTGAACCTATGGCACGGGTGCCAGAGGCGGCACTCAGAGCCCTCTCTGTGGGCACACGCACCATCGTCCCAGTCCAGGCCTTCAGCTGGGTTTTATAAAACCTTTTCACTTTAGGCCTCCACCGCCATGTACAAAAAAAAAAGGTTCAATCAATCAGTCAATTTCAACTTCTCGCGGGAAAAAAAAAATCTTGCAAAGTTGGAATTGATTGATTGAACTTTTTAGTCCCACCCAGTCTGCCGTTACCACTGCAGCCATGCCCAGCCAATGGGCCACACCTAACCAATGGGCCACGCCCACCTGGCACCCGACGATGCATAAGTGGGTTTTGGGTTGCAGTTTGGGCACTCGGTCTCTAAAAGGTTCGCCATCACTGGATTATTCCATTTTTTAAAGAAAAGAATGTAATTTATGAATTTAAAAAGGTACAAAAATGCAGATTCAATATGCTAAGGTAAATTAGCATAAGATGACTTTAAGAGAGTAGATTATAACCTCACCCTTTTTAATAGCAGCAGTAATATATACACATGATGGCCCAAAACAGATGATTTAACAATACCCTCAGGTTGAAATAGTCAATCACAGCTGCTTTAGGATAAAAGGAAGATTACCTTTGGGCTCAAGCAGAGTAAACACTAATCACTGGCCTCCCTGGTTTTCTGATTGACACCTACCCACCATAATGGATTGAAAATGGACAAGTTAAAGTACCTAACAGTGCCCGCAGATTCTAAGAATTGTTTTTAAGACTAAATATATCAAGGAAGATATTCAATATCTAATGGATTATTATATCCAAGAGGTATTCTTAACAATTTTTAATATACTCACTGACTATATTCCCACCATCCAGAAAACAATTGTGTGTATGTTTAAGTGCATAACAAGTCTCAGTATAATGACCAACCTGTATTCTTGAAGGTAACGAAGGCTGGCCTGTCTTTCATAACTAGATCCAAAGCAGACAAGCCTTCTTTATCCTGAGCATACAAGTTCACACCATGCTGAAAGCCAGGGGGAAATAAATGAAAAAAATGAGACACTGCATTAAAAATGAGTCACTGCACATAATACACAAATAAAATAATGTACAAACCCAATACCCAAGCTGTGATGTCAGGCTAAACATTCCCAAACCTTGTTAAATGCAGAAATAATTTTTGACCTACTACTACTACTACTACTTTCTTCATTTTTGCATTCACACATTGTCTTTCGTTTTCTTTCACTTTCTCTGGCAAGTTAAATTCAATTACTGCACCCATAAAATAGGGATATTTAATAAAGCAGCTACCAAATGCAGTCTACATAACACAATCTAGAAGTACTCTCTAGTTTAAAGCCATTTTAATAGACAAAAGAGGCAAATCTGAATGTGTTATTATCTCATATATTTCTCTACTTGATTGAGAAATAAATTTCTTTCCAATTATTTTTAATTTGTCAACATTTGTGGGTGGGTGGCCTTTTTGCTTAAATATTTTGTCAAAAGACTAATCTAGTTAGACTTTATTTAGCACTTCAGCAAACAGGTAAAAGCTAGGTGTAAATAAAAGAAATATTAACCAGGACCTGTTTATACAAAATTTTCTTTTGCCCACTATTTTGATTTCAGGTTTGGCACAGATTCGTAATGTTAATAAAAGTTGTGAAATACCTTTAGTAATGACCATGCACAATCTATGTGACCATAGAAAATGCCACGATGCAAAGCTGTCCATCCCGACTCCTTGTCTTTTGCCAACAAATCCACTCCGTTTGTTTCTGCCAGCCAGTCTAGCACTCCTTTTTTACCACAGGAGGAGGCAATATGGAGGGCATTCCTGCCAAACATATCCTTGCTTGTTGCGGCATTATAGCAGTGAGAAGTGAGGAAGGCTTTGATCTGACCTTCACTTCCCTGGGTCACTACGGACACAATATCTAAAGCATGCTGTAATGAACGACACTTTGAGGTACAATCAGGCACCAGAGAACTCATCTTTTCCCCACTGAACTGTTCATTTATGCAAGACAAGGCCCTGCAAATTCTCCCTTTGTTCTTTCTTCACAAAAAGTTCATGATTTCCACCTTTCGGGCAGCTTCCATGGGAATCTTTGTGCTATTAAGGCTTGATACTTAAAAAAATAAATAACTTTACCAATATAAATTCAGAGTTCATTTCCTCGGTTTTAATCTACAAAATATATTATTACTGTCCAGAAAAAATATAATTCCAAAAAGCAACAAATGGAGGGGGGAGGAGGGCTCCCCCTCCACTCCGTCTAGTTCTTTCAGATAGCCATAATTGCAAGAGAGACCTGTAAGAAGAAGAGTAGAAAAAGAAACAGATTAGATTATCTAACATAGTAGAATTGCAGTTTCTTTCTTCTTTCAGAAAAAAAAGCAACTTTTCCAAACCAAATATCTCCCCCCCCCCATAGCATTCATCCACATTCTATCCAAAGCTTGGAAAAAGACCCAGGTTTTGAGAGCTCATTTAAGGGGGTATGCACGCAAAAATATGAAATTGATGGAACATTTTTCCAGGGGGCAAGTGCTGTGACAGAGAAGGCCTACTTTATTTGTCCCATCAGGTGATACTGTTTAATAAGGGGACCTGAAGTAGGCCGACTTTACCTGATCACAGAGTATGGGCAGAAACACATGGCTCCTCAAATAATAAATTTGGCAGAAGGGAACTGCACCCAAGAGGATGGATACACCTGAATAAATGATCCTGACAATTATTGTCATGATGAGACTTCAGTACCTGGATGCAGTCTTAATTCCGAGAACAGCGTTAATAGTGGTATTGTAATACTCACTTGTTGAGATCCAACAAAGTAAATGTTATACATGATATGCATAGTGCTTAATCTCAGAGGATACGTTTTCTTTTTTAATATGATTTCTTTTTAAATAGAAATTATGTCTCCTTTTAAGAGAGTATTGATTTAAATTTTGTGTAAAATATATACTCTGTATATTTGCAGATAAACCCATCTGCAAATAAGCTGACTCTTAAAAGTTTTAATTAAAATATTATGAAAAATGTGGCACCTACAGATAATACAACCCTCAACATTTTCATATATTTTAATTTTCATAATTGACATCCACTATGGGTGCATTTTTCATAGTATTTTGATTAAAAATTTGAGGGTCTGCCTATTTGCAGATGGGTTTATCCCCGAGTACATTCATGTGGGTACTTTTAAAACGTATTACCATATATATAAGAAGTTCTTGTTTAAGGATGGCATTTAGTGTCATGTTTGGCTGATTGATAAATAAACTTAAAGTGACAGTTGTAGCAGTCCCAGACGCCACTGTTAGGCAAATCCCAATGGTCACAGCATCCTTGGGTCATGCGATCACCATCTGCACCTTCTGACAGCGTCCCCCTTGACTTTGCTTATTGAAAGATGGCAGCAAAGGTTGCAAATGGCGATCTATAACAGAATGCTGCAGTGTAATAACTGCAAATCAAATCTCAATCACATGACCATGGAGATGCTGTGACACTGCAAGTATAAGGACCCATTATAAATCTCTCTCATGCAGCACATCATACCTCTGAAATGAATAAGTGATAGTTCCACAACTTGTATTTGCAGATAAACCAATCTACAGATAAGCCAAACTCCATTTTGGGGGTGTATTTCAGTATTTAAACTTAGCTCAACCATGAATATATTCAGTGTCTTTATGTTGATTTTAAAATAAATAAAATAATATGTTCAAACATCAGCTTTTTAACATATCATGAGGTAAATTTTATAAGCAAGGATCTCTTTTAAGGGGATAGGGCAGTGGTGGTGAACCTGTGGCACTCGGAGCCATCTCTGTGGGCACACGTGCCGTTGCCCCAGCCTCGCCTCCCCCGTGACCCCCTCTCCAGTAGCCCCCCTGAAGGAGAGTCACCCCTGAGCATGGCCCACGCGGAGCAGCGCAGCCAAGGACATGGCAGCCAGGCAGCGTAGACAAGACTCTGCCCTCACACCCCATTGTGCACAGCTGATGCTGCAGGGCGCGGGCAGAGGGCGTGACCGCCATAGTGCTGCTGGGCTGCCTGGGCGATCTGCGGTGGGCCCTGGAGGCGGTGAGTGGCCCTGTGGGAAGGCGGGGCGCGGGATGGTGGGGTGGAGCGGGGGCGGGACAGGGGTGAAGCGGGGGCAGTTTTTGGGCACTCAGTCTCTAAAAGGTTTGCCATCACTGGGATAGGGCCACAGGAATGGCAATACACTTAATTCTATCCATGCTGTAAGTACAATAATGTGTTTATTCTAATAAACATTACAGTACACTGTGACCCTCAAAGCATAATGTATTCTAACCTCATAGATTTCAGATATACGCCATTCAAAATATCAGCAACTATACTATGCAATACAATATAAACAAATATCCAACTTCTCCTCTCTGGATATCAGATGCTTGCAAACAATAGAGAACAGAGAATGTCACAGAACAAAGAAACCTGCAACAAATCTCATGACTGATTATTTAAAATGATTCAAGGAAAAAATACCAAAGTAGCTTGCAACAATGCAAGTGCCTCTGTGTGTACCGGAAACCTCTCAGAACACTGAATTAATTATTCAATAAAGTAATTATTGGTGCAATGGCTTATGTACTTTAAAACCTTATACAATTCTAGTCTATAATATCCTTGCAGCAGGTATTCCATAGCAACTCTTTTCTTCAAGACAGCTTATCCTCAGGATTTGAGGGAACAGGCTTGCCCAACTCAGATTAGAACTAGATGCCAACGCCACAAGTTACAACTTTCCAAATATGAACTTCACAACTCCTTTTAGAAAAGTGACATCAATCTCCGATTCCATAGCAGTGCAGAATTATTAAGTCATATATTTTATGGGGGGGGGGAACAAAATCACAATCAAGATTCTCTAAAGCTATGTGGTTAACTGTTAGCAGATGGGCAGATTTAAAAAATGTAGAAAAAAATGAAGCAATACATTTTTTATTTTAAAAATAATCAAAGCTTAGCTGCACATTGTATCTGAGATGGCAGTTGAAGCAAGTAAACAGTTTTAGACATACACGTACACTATTGAAAAAATTCACTTTAGATAAGAATGCAATTTGAAGCCTTCACAGCACAGTATTACTGGTCTCTAATTTCTCATTATTTTATTTTGCTACAGAACATTTAGATTCATTCACTTTTAAATCATTAAGATTTTATTGTAAATTAATTCTATTGGAAAATTTAACTGTATCTTTTTTCCATTTTAAATAAGAAATATATATAGGGATTTATTTTAAGGTTGGAGACAAAGTAACTAACGGGAAAATATATTTAGGCCTCCAAATAAATAAATGTTATACTAGTTTGCTCTGCTCTGAAATAACTAGTATTGTAAAAACATTAACTCAATTATGAAACTCAGTTAAGAGCATTTTGTAAGGGATAGTTATGACTCAGGAAAAAAAACAAGGAGGAGCAAAGGACAAAATTCACAGTTAAGCAATCAAAATGTCACAAAACAATGAACAAACGTTGATATTTTCCTGAACTTTTATGAAAGGAGAGAAAATAAGAAAAAGCTCGCAAATTTCATCATCTGAGCATTTAATCACAGTAAAGTCAGGGCTAGAAGAGAAAAATAAGAAACTACTGTGTGAAACTTTTCTCTTCACAAATGCAGACAGGCCACCATGCTATTTACATGCCACTCTCATCAGTTCATCTCCATCTTTTTATTTAAAATGATAA